AGGTGAGCTGAGGAACTATATCTGTATACTGTCGGAGAAGCTCCAGTCCCAGGAGATGGTTCTAAAGCAGGCAGCGGGTGACGAGCATGTTGGGGGACTGCTACCACACTTTGCCATTTGGTTTCTCATCTGTGATTATATTTTACTGAACTCTGACTTTCCCCTCTGATCTGAATTTCAATGAGGGTATAAAATCAAACCTCTGCATAGTTTGAGACTTCAAACATTTAAATTATGATTTATGGCTTGCAGAATTCCTTTAATTGCCTGTGCCCGTGTTCTTTTTATTTTCTGTTTCTAGGTGTTCTCTAGTGAACTAACTTCATAGCATATTTGTTACACTACAGTCTTAACAGATCTTAACAGATCTGTAGCTGGTTTTTAAACTAACAATATATGCTTCATGTGCCTCATTTTTGCCACCTGTAAAATGGAATTTGTGAAATATCCAACTCACAACCTTGCTATGAGGATTAAGTAACATAATGTTAATATTTAAGCCTAAAAAATGTGCCGGGCCTATAGTAAGTTTGTAAGTGCCTCTTTCTATAGTTTTCTGCAACACTATTTGCCATTTATTTGCTCCCCTTGTTTCTAATATTTTACCATAGTAAATGAGGTATTGTATCTTTTTCATTCCACAAAAGAAGACACACAGGTGAGCAATAAACATATAAGGAAATGCTGGGCATCACCAGCTATATGAGAGATGCAAATGAAAACAACACACCCCTATTGATAGTGAAGTTCACACACACACACACACACACACACACACACACACACACCAAAAATAAACTGAATCGCAAATGCTGGAGAGGGTGGGGAGTGACAGGAGCGCTCATCCACTGTGAGGTGGTACACCCACTGTGGAAAATGGTGCTTCCTCAAACTGCTGGGAATAGAAATGCCACATGACTCCGCATTCACTTTGCTGAATATATACCCTAAAAATAATAATAATAATATCCGTAGCATAAATAGATATATGCACACTCATGTTCCCAATAACAAGAAGGTGGGAACAAATGCCCATCCATGGAAAAATTAATTCATAAACTGTGGTGCATACACACAGCGGAGTTGTGTGCATTGCTAAAGAATGATGATGAAACTAGGTAACCCCTTATGCCATGGATAGGTTTGGAGGACACTGCACGGAATGAAGTTAGCCAATCACAAAAGGGCAAATATTTTTTAGAACACTATGAAAATATTAACATAATGTAAAGGTTTTCTTACAAAAGAAACCAGCTCTGCTAGCTAGCCGTGGTGGGAAGGACCGGGAGCAGTGGGTTAGAGGGTGAGCAGAGGTTAAGGAGGGTGAGTGGAAGATCATATTCTACAAGAGGGAGAGGAGGAAAATGAGAGATGGGGACTGGCAAGCCATTGGGAGGCCTGACAAGTTGTTTCCATTGTTAAATGCAAAGAATGATCATATGAACTACAAACTCTTACCTAATTCATAAGAAGAAGTTAGGTTTTTCTGTCATTCAACAAATGCTTATTCACTACCTAAGATGACCCACGCTTTGCACTAGGAGTTAGAAAATATTTAAATATGACTGCAATTTGATTTCTGTGTTCATGGAATTCAAAGCAGTCATGAAATGCAAAGTTCACAGAGGTGGGAAGCAAGGCTAGTTCATGCGCACGGAATTTTGGATGCCTGGTTGAAATGCCAAGTCACCTGGCTGTACCTGGGACCCATCACAGGTCAGAAGACCTCACAGTCTTGCCGGGGAGACAGGTTTAGAGAAAGTAGAGCTGTAGCAGAAATACATGTAGAGAGTGTTCAAAATTCAGAAGAGTGATTTGTTGCCTGGGGTCATCGAGGAAGGGTTCCAAGGAGACACCGCAGAACCCGGCCTTGAGGGGTGAGGAGTTCATCAAGTGCACAACGGACCAGTGGCATTGAGAAGTTTTTATCTATTTTCTTTTTCCGCCTTTTCTAAGTCAAATGTGCTCAAATTTGTCTCCAGGGAAATGTGTGTTTCTTGGTTATTTGCCCAAGTGCACTAAGTGGGAATTGATATTGGCCCAGCCAGTGAAACCAATTCTCGTAATGTCCTGCTTCACACAGCGCTGCGTTAGTTAAGATTTGCTGGTTGTGTGTGGAACTCCAGGGCGGAAATGGGCCTCACAAATGATGGCCGTCAAACCCAGAAACCCATCAAGAACTGCCAGAGGGCTCTTCACATGCCTCGAAAGTCGCTCCCTTTTTCAAGGCCTGCTTCAATGTCGGCTCTGCCACTCGGTCGCGTGGTAGAAGGCACCTCCAAGTTCCCTCATACAAGGGTTCAGGCCAGACAAATAGCGCGTGTCACGCTCTGAATTGCAAACTCCCAGCATTGATGTGTGGTGGTTAGGTGCCGTCAAGTGGGGGGCTCAGAGCGACCCGGCGTACAAAGCACAGCCCAGTGCTGCGCCATCCTTACAATTGGCTCTTTTATTAATCATTCATTGATTTATATTTACTTAGTTATTTTTACTTCACATATCATAAAATGGCATCATTCAATCACATTAAGATTTGTACAAGTCTTAAAAATAAAATGTCGGAGGAGGAGGGGGAGGAAACGGGGAGCTGACATCAGGGGCTCAAGTGGGAAGAGAATGCTTGGAGGATGATGGTGGCGGCGTGTGTGCAAATGCGCTTGACACACTGGAGGAGTGTGTGGATTGCGATAAGAGATGTAAGAGTATTTTAAAAATAAAATGAAATGAAATAAAATGGCTTCAAGATATCAGCACATTTAGCTCTTTCTCATTCCCAACTCGATGTTGCTCCAAGGTGCATGTTGGGTTCTCTGCGTGGCTCCCTCCGAAACCACACCGCGTGTTCAGAGTTGAATGCCCAGAGCTCGTCAGCGGACATGTACACTCACTCGGGGACACAGGAGAGCGACGCGAATGGTCTTCTCCGACCCCAGAAGACCTAACAGGGGCCCAGGCCCTTCGCAGTGCAAAGAAGAAGGTGGGGATGGGTCGTGCGTACTCATTCATACAATAGTCACTCCTGAAAGCTGCAGGTGGGTGGTCAGTGCAAGACCCCACAGGGTGTTCCTCCTCTTTGGAGTACAGACACCACGGCAGGCAGGGCCCACTTGGAGTCGGATGAACATTTCATATGAAGATGTTAAGGTCAAGTTCACTGAAGTTCAAATTGCCGGAGGAGGTCATTTATCCCCACTTACTTCATTCTCTCGCCTCGAAGTCTGCTTCCTTCTTTTTCAAACATTTCTATGCTTTTATTAGCTGCTCTTTTTCTCTTTTTAGCATACAAAAGGGCAGATATTTTTCAAGCCAACTATCAACATGTCGAACATTAGATATCCATTCCCATGCAATGCATAGAGTGTATAATTACATACATTGTTGTAACCAATTCAACTTGTGCTCTAGGCTTACACATACTAATCACGTGACCAGGTATATAGACAACCCTTTACAGAGAAGAGATTATTCATCTTTAGTCTGTTCAATAGGATGCAAAGTTGGAAACATCACAACATAAAGAATTTTTGCAGGGATAAACTTTTTTTTTTTCAAGCAACAGGTATGATTCTACAAGGTGGTACTTTCATGACTGGACAGGCCCCAGGGCCTTGCTGCCTCCTGCAGAAACCATGTCTTTAGGCTGAAACAGGTGTGTGCCCATTCACCCTGAATGCACTGGAACTCGTGACATCTCAGAAGCTACGGAAGTTGGGGCCGGGTTAGTCTTTGGATGGAGACTGAAACGAGAATTCTTTTCTGCTAGACACTAATGCGAATACAAGCAAAGATGGTATGGAAAGCTGCACCGCAGCCTTAATTTTTCCCAAAACACTGAACTTTCTGAAGGCTACTGCCCAATTTGTTGCTATTAAATATTATTTAAAATTGTGTAGGTCGAAACATTCATCTGTTTTTGTGGGGTTTCAAAATTGTGCAGCTACTGTGGAAAACAGGATAGCCACTGGTCAAGAAGTTAAACATAGAGTGATCATTTGACCAAGGATTCCACTCCTAAATATGAAGGGGCTCCAAAAATTTTGTGGAAAATGAAATGGAAAGCTATTGGGATTTTTCCAATCAGAGGAGTCCTGATGGACCATGCACAGAATTGCCCAACACAAAGTGAGCAGTTCGCACCCACCGCTCTGCAGGAGAAAGATGAGGCGGGCTGCCTCCCTTAAAGATGTCAAGGTCTCCGAAATTCCGTGCGGCATTTTCCTGTCGTGAAGATCTCTGTGAGTTGAAATCAACTTGACGGCAGTGAGTTTGGTTTGAGGGTCCACCCAAGATGCTTGAAAGTTGCTGCTCCAACCGATACTTGTCCAATAGCAGTCAATATAGCACGATTCACAAGAGCCAAACTGTGGACACAATCCAAGTGCCCATCAACAGATGAATAGATAAACAAAGTGTGAGCTATGTGTACAATGCAGTGGTGTGCAGTCACAAAAAGAAATCCTGGTAGGACTTGAATGGGCCTTGAAAACCTGATGTGTATTAAGTGAGACTCAGAACACAGCGATTCTACTGGCTCCTACGGAACATCGAGGACTGATAAATTCACAGAAACCAAGCTGTGTTAGTGCTACCAAGGGGGTGGGAGGAGAAACTGGGAAGTTGTTGCTTAAGGGGTGCGGCTGGTGTGACACTATTGAGAAAGAGTGGTGGTGGATGCACAGCTCAGGGAACACAACTAGTCGGTGAACTGCATGTGTGACATCACTTGAAATGGCAAGTGTTTATTTGAAAATATTGTTTAGGAGGAAAGGATAATGAAACAGGTGGCTAAGGGCTCAAGACTTAAACAATACAGAGGACGTGTTCTCTATCTTCTCACTTTTCAATCAACATTGAGCTCAAGTAGCAATTATGCGGGGTGGGAGGTCACACTGTGTATTTTGTGCCTTGGATCAAGGTGAGCCTTCCTAGCATGTTGTTTTGAGACACAAAAATGGTTATTTGTGTTACTGCTGATGCCTGTTCCAACCTGTTTCTTCCAGATACCATTGTTCTTATCGCTTCAATAGCAGTCGTTTCTGCAAAAACTCAGGGTAATATTTTTGCCACATCTGCACTAAGAAGTCTCCGCTTCCTGCAGATCCTCCGAATGGTGCGCATGGACCGCAGGGGCGGCACTTGGAAATTACTCGGTTCGGTGGTCTATGCGCACAGCAAGGTGAGATTTGGTTTTCTGAATTATGAAACAAGACCAGTATTGAATAAACCTATCACAAATGAACTTAAATCATTTCAGAAGTTAGTTTAAACTGTTTAAGAAGCATGGTGTGTATGGATTATTGAAAATGCATCATAATGGTCCAAGAAATAGTGAAATGAATGAAAATGTGCATATTTTTTCCTTCTTCACATAAGTTTTGCTTCTAAAAATGGTTCCTTCTTCTTACGTGTAGGAATTAATCACCGCTTGGTACATCGGATTTTTGGTCCTCATTTTTTCATCTTTCCTTGTCTATCTGGTGGAAAAGGATGCCAATAAGCAGTTTTCTACATATGCAGATGCTCTCTGGTGGGGGACAGTAAGTACGAAAACTGAACTTTTATTCAGTGGGTTTTGTGGAGTGTTTCCATTGAGTACAGCATAATGATCCCTGTGAATGATCTCAAGAAAATCATTGACTTTAGAGTAGTAACTTCATGTGCAGATTAAAAAAGGGAATAGTCACTGAGTGAAAATTAGTAGAAGAGTAAAATCACAACATCAAAGAGAGAAAAGAAAAGAAAACGGTAATGATCTTTGCGATTAGAGATTACAGAACAACTTCATTTTTCGGTTGTCATTGAAAGATTTTCTTTATGTGACTGTTTTGTACCACCCTAATATAGTTATGCCCACACTTATTCAAGAAATGTTTAAGCTTCCTCAGTTCCACCCAATTGCCATCAAGTCAATTCTGATTTATAGAGACAAACTGGAATTGCTCTGTTGGGTTTCCGAGGCTGTAAATCTTTACAGGAGATATAACCTCCTCTTTCTCCCACAAGCAGCGGGTGGAGGAGAACTGCTGACCCTGCAGGTATCAGCCCGACTTGTAACCCACTGCCCCACCAGGACTTGTCGTTTCCTCAATAGCACATTGAAAATGAAACATTGTCATAAATGTAAGATTGGACAGAAAAAAAAGAAGCAAGCTCATTGTAAAAATTTCCACCCAAACCCTGCTTTTCCTTTCTAATATTGTTAAGGAATATTTTTTAATCATAAAATCTTGACTTAGATATAAAACAAACGTGCTAAAGATCTTGCCTAGCTCATATTTGTTCAATTAAGTCCTGGTTAATGAAACACCAGTAAGCTGTAACAGCCAGCTCAAAGGACTGCATAAAGAGAGCCACATTTAGATATCAGGAATACCGAAATGAGTGTGCAAGGAAAGACAAAACCGACTCCTTCGATCTTCCCAGACAGCCAGGATTTAGTTCATATCTCTGGACAAGAATGAGTTTGCGTGGCTACCACTTACCTCCAATTTACAGAGTCATAAAATCATTCAAAGGGCCATGGAAGAAATAGAGTCCCACGAAATCAGATTCAGATGACCCAGAAGGGGGTGCTCTGAACAAGGCAGAGTTTTCCATGGAAACACATTTCAAAGAATGTAAATATTGCAAAGGATTTCTAAAACAGTCATTGCAACGTGTGTCCTAATAAGAATGTCAAAAGATAAGGAAGTGCTGTGTGAAATGTGTAAAATATATTTTTAATTTTATTTTTTTAAGATATTCCAAATGGGAGTTATGGGAATATATGAGTATACAGCACTTATGATTGTCGAAAGGGCTTCTACATCTCTTTGTTCCAACAAAATTAAATCCTTTTATAAATCATCAATAGTTATTTCTTGGGTATTAGACTGCTACCAAAATAAAAAATGTTTCATTTTCTAAAGCTCTGATTCAAACTTCAATAAGTTTCTTGTTTTGTTTTGTTTTTAAGAAGAAGCCCTGGTGGCAGAGTGGTTTAAGTGTTTGGCTTCTAACCAAAAGGGTTCTAAATGAACCCCCAGCTGCTCCATGGGAGAAAATTGTGCCAGTCTGTTTTTCTAAAGATCTATGAGTCTTTAAGACCCTAGACACTATATCTTTTGATAGCTGGGCATTATCAACTTTCTTCACCACATTCGCTTTGTCTTCACTTTGTGTCAGGAAGGTGAGCATCACAGAATGCCAGGTTATTAGAACAAAGTGT